TCACAATAACTTGTACCTATAACTGTCTTGTTTTATATTATGATTTGCCATTGACTCATGTTTGACACGCTTTGACAGTGATTGCTACCATGATCAGAAACAATTTACAAACATTTTGTACGAACAAAATCATGAATGGATTTATAGCTTTAAATGTAATGTCTAACAAAATCTACAAAAATAAAAGTAACGAGTTGCGCAGTGAGGAAAACATATGTGCCACAAAATTAAAGAGTCATGCAGTGAGGAAAACACATGTGCCACAAAAATAAAAGTAACGAGTCGTGCAATCAGAAAAACACATGTGCCACAAAAATAACGAGTCGTGCAGTGAGGAAAACACATGTGCTACAAAAATATAAGTAACAAGTCGTGCAGTGAGGAAAACACTTGTGCCACAAAAATAAAAGTAATGAGTTGTGCAGTGAGAAAAACACATGTGCCACAAAAATAACGAGTCATGCAGTGAGGAAAACATGTGTGCCACAAAAATAAAAGTAACGAGTCGTGCAATCAGAAAAACACATGTGCCACAAAAATAATGAGTCGTGCAGTGAGGAAAACACACGTGCCACAAAAATAAAAGTAACGAGTCGTGCAGTGAGGAAAATACATGTGCTACAATAAAAGTAACGAGTCACGCAATGAGGAAAACACAAAAGTTCATGAAATCTTATTTGACACTTATCTAGACAACATGTTGAACTTTTTATTAAGTTAAGAAAAAATATTAGAAAAAAAAAAAAAAAAAAAAAAAGAAACTGAAAATATGTAGAGCCATCAAAAGTAGAACTTCCTTTATTACTTTACTAATGGTTTAATTACTAATAAAACCTTTATTATGAATTTATTACCTTTATTACCTTTATTAGGGTTGCTTACTGCTATTATATGCTATTATTGATAAAAAATAATAACAAACAATAAATTACAAACTAGAACTTTTTCTATTGAGTCATCTGCAATTGATTTCAAAACCTGTTTAACTGACTGTAAAACTGAATCATTTGAAAGATTTTGTAATGCATAAGGTTGTAATTTCTTTTTGAAAATCAATTTTTCATTTTTAGTAATTTGATTCTTAAATACTATGTTGGTAATTGAGTCAATAGTAATTACAGCAGAGAAATTTGATTCTGGGAGACAATTACTGTTAGAATTAGATTGTTTTATTAAAAAAATACTAAAATATTTTATATATTTAAATTGCTCTTAAAAGATGTTGTATGAAACTCAATAAGTTGTTGTATGAAACAAACTACAAACTGTTCTATTGTTTGAAACTAGTATTTGGAGTTACAAGGAGAGAGGTAAAACAGAGCACATTGATTTATCTGCTTTTAGTTCATGAGAATTAAAGATGTCAAATAAAATAATAAAAATCATGGAAATTTGAAAGCTCTAATATTATTTGAGCTTTGATCACAAATAGGACACTCTAAGTGACACTCACAAATAAGACACTTTAAGTGACACTCACAAATAAGACACTCTAAGTGACACTCACAAAAGACACTCTAAGTGACACTCACAATAAGACACTCTAAGTGACACTCACAAGTAAGGCACTCTAAGGGACACTCACAAATAAGACACTCTAGCTAATCTTAGCGCAATCTAATTGAAGAGTGTTTTACTAAAAGGCGCCAAGTCACATTATACATATTTTGAGTAAACTAAAAAACAAAAACAATCATCTGACAAAATATTAATTATTTTTACATAATTTTTTTTATTTCAGTAACTTATTGTGATTTAAATAAAATTAGTCTTACTTCCATAAGTTTTTTAAATAACTTATTAATTCTTTAAAATCTGAGAGGTTTTGCAGAAGTTGCATAAGTCCCCAATTTTTTAGGGAAAAATATATTTTTGTGGCCAAAGCCAAACATAAAAAATTTTTATAAATTGTTTTAAAAATTTTATTAGTGTAACTGATAAAATCTTAAAAACAATATTAATATAACAACAATATTTGAATAAAATAAATGGTAATTTTAAGAATCTTTTTTTTTAACGACTAGATAACTGTTAAAAAGTTTTTAAAAATTTCAGCTTACATATGATTAGTTATTTAATCTTACAAGTAACCAAATAACAACATTCTTATAAAAACATAGAATATTAGGATACCAACATAAAAATTAAACAAAACATTTCATTAAGTTTAAACAAATGGTTCATTCTTATCAAATTCATCTACTTCTTCTGGCATCATACCGTTGACACTTGCAAGAATGTTAGCATAAAAGTCTTTTGCATCTTCAGATACCTCAAAAAAAGCTATTGACTTTTTCACATCTGTTTTTTTTCTTCCCTTTTTAACTTTTTTTTCAAATCATTTTCTTTTTGCTTCATTCATGTTGCTAAAAAGCTGTCCTTTTTTTAATAAATTACAAACAAAATCAGGATCTGCAGAACATGTGTTTTGCACTCCGATCTGCTTTTTGGAATAAATATGATTCTCTGATCCTTCATTGGAAACGGTAGTTTACTTCAAACCAATCTCTTAGTTTTTGGACAGTTCCATGATCTGCAAAAATTTTGTTATATTCTGAGGAAGAAATTTATTTTTTGAGTAACACTTTTTCGATACAACAAAAAACTCGATCAGGAGGTAAAAAACCTCTGATAGGAAAAAAATGTTTTACAACTGCAAAGATGATATTAGTTTTTAAAACATCTTTCCACAAATAAGAGTAGAATTCTTGTTTTGGAATGAACAAGCATCTGAAAATAAATGTAAGTTTTATATTTTTATTGACCCTCGTTCATTAAATAACTCTTTTTCTAAGCTAGACAAGTAGTGAATCAGGGCTGAAGACACTTCGTTAGATCCTTTACCACTCTGAGTTTCCAACCAAGTGTCAAGAAATATGCTTTCTTTATTTTTAGCTGCTTCATCATGTCAAACAAATGTTAAATTGTAAAGCCAAATTTGTAGAGAAAAAAAAAACCTCACATATACTTAGTTTGGGTATTGGTTGCATTTGCTGCATACCAAAGTAAACTAATAGTGTTTTTATTTTTTTCAAAAGAGAACAAAACTTTTTCATAAGAGAATAAAACTTTTTGCCCTTAATAAAAGCAAACAGTATATTGCATATTTACCTGCCATTACTTTTCTGTCAATTGTTTTTTTTTTAATCAAATTTTTTTGTATTTCGCAAAAAGAACAGATATCTGTTCTTGGATTTCCAAATCCAATATTAAATTTTAAAATATTACTTTGATTTTTAAAAAATTTCCAGTTTCTTTATAATTTCACAATATTTAGTTCAGGTGAAAGATATCTGACACTTTTTTCTCTGCCATAATGTGAAGCATGCCCTTTAAGTCAGCTAATAAAATCCGCTATAGAGTTAGTTATTTCTCTATCTTTTACAGTTTGTTTATAACTTTTACAAAGTTCCGGTCTTATACACCTATTTTTATAAAAGTAATTCAAAAAATTTTGCAATCTTTTTCTTCCGACACAAGTAATTGACATAGAAGTTTTCTTACAAACTGGAACTGTTTTAATGTGCAGTCAGCAATTTTATATCTAATTGAATGTCTTCTTAAAAATAACTCGTCATTCCTTTGTCTGCACCTTTTTACTTGATTAACATTTACAAATTTTAAAAGAAAACTGTCTTCTTTCACTTTTGATTTTACTTTGTAGAGCAATTTGAAAAAGTTTAAATAAAATTTATTGCAATTAATAAAAATATCCTATTAATTACATCTTATTAGAAATAAAAATATTATAATTCTAATAGGATGTTTATTTTTTTTGAAACTCATAACTCACTAGTATCAACAATTTTGAACTACAAAAAAAGTAAACATTTCCATAAAATGAACCTAAAATATCCAGGTTGCTTAAACATAATGCTTTACATCTAAAATATATTTTAAGAAACATTAAAATAGTGCTTCTAGCATGTAATGAAAAAACTCTTCTAAACATTTTGATAACTTGTGAACTACAATTTATGATCCTCAAAGCTAAAATTTTATATTTAACAGCCTAACAATTTCCTTAAGATAATTATTTATACATAATTGACTTTAGAAAAAAACACATTTTTAAAACACCTTTTGCTTTATTTTTAGGTTCTTGAGTTGTTGTTTTTAATTGACAAATCCTAACTTAGGATCATAAATACTTATTTCTAAATATAGTTTTGACAGTCACATTCAACATTATTTTGACAGTTACATTCAACATATAACTACAAATAATTAAGATTAAATTCTTAAGATAAGTCTCAACAATCCAACAAAATATTCCTAACAAATAGTGAGTTAAGAAGTTCTTCACATGATTTTGTATTGAGATCTTGACAACAACAATTATGAAAGTTTGAAACTAAATAATAGGTTTAACTTACTTAATTTGACCGAATTGTTTGCATTGTCTTATGTATAAATATTTCATAACATTTAAAGTAAAACAGTGTTTTAAAAACTTCTTTAAATTCTTGATATATTAGTTATTTATTAAATTTAATCAATAATTGCATATTTAATATTTTAAGTAGGAGGAAATTCCTATTAAAGGAAAAGTAACTTAGTTCCTGAAAAACAAAATTCAACAATACTATAATATATAATATATTTAGTAGACAAAAAGGTCTATAATAAATTCATCATGTTATTTACTATATCATCCCGTATGACATCTCCAAATTTAATACACAACCAATTACACACAAATATAAGGATTTTTAGGTGAGTTAGCAGGCATTGGTTTGCATGAGTAATTATTTCATTTTTTTCTTGGAAGCAAAGTATACATTTTTAGAACTATTATTAAATGCAGGTGCTGAAAAAATATGTGATTTAATGTGGTTTTTTTATTTATTTAAAAATAATATATATTTAAGTAAAAGTATAAGTACATTTACAAAAAAATTACAGTAACGCGAGTAAATGTAATTTGTTATTTTCCACTTCGGCTCACTAGTTAGTGATTCCAATATAATTAGAAAAATAAAATACATAAATAAACTTACAGGACCAACACAGTTTATAACTATGCAACTTTGTCTACACATCTCTCGAATGGATTCTTCATTAGAACTATCAGCTATAATGATACCCACTTCACCACGTGTATTCCAACCTAATAAGTACATGGAGTAAATAATTATTATTTGAAACATGGTTGTAATTAGTAACAAAAAAGTTGGTCTGTTTAAGAATTTTAAAATTACTGTTAAATTTTCAATTAAAAAATTAACAATTTACATTTTTAAGTATTCTGCAATAACACTCATCGAAATTTTTATATTAAACATTAAGTTTCTGAGATAAAAAAATTTTGCTTTAAATTTTAAATAGTTAAAGTTTTTCTGTTGAAAACTTTAAAATAAACTTTTATATTTTTTACATATTAGTAACATTATTCGTAAGCAAAAAATGTTTAAACCCTTTAAATTTATTATAATCAATATACTAGCATAGTGCTATGGATGTTCTATAACTCTAGTTTGGAGGCAGGGCAGTCTACATAGCAGGTTTGAACCCATTATTGGGAACTATTTTTTTTAAATTTTAAATGTTTTATTTCAAAATAATATTACAGGGTGGCCAGCTAAAAGTAAATTTAAAATTCCAGGATATTTCCAGGATTTTTCAAGGAAATTTTGGGTTATTCAAGGATATATTGATTTTTTCTCGATAATAAAATGGACCAGTAAATGCAAAATATATTGCCTTAGAACAAAACAACTAAATATTAATATTTGAATAGGTATATAAATCATATATACATACATATAATTGTTTGTGTTAAATATTAATCATTTATACATACATATATTTATGTAAAGTTTGTACAAATAAAATTGTACAAACTCATACAAACATATATATATATATATATATATATATATATATATATATATATATATATATATATATATATATATATATATATATATATATATATATATATATATATATATATATAATCTTTAAAAGTCATTTCTTGTTATATGATATGTTTATAAATATATAAATTGATCTTAATAAAAAAGGCAGTGTGTAACTATTTTTTAAATATATTTTGATATAATAATATATTAATGATATTTTGCTGACCTATTGGGGTCAGCGTCATCAAGTAATTGATGACGCTGATCACAATATTATATCTATCTCTCTCTCTCTCTCTCTCTCTCTCTCTCTCTCTCTCTCTCTATATATATATATATATATATATATATATATATATATATATATATATATATATATATATATATATATATATATATATATATATATATATATATATAAATATATATATATATATATATATATATATGCTTACCATTATATATAATATATATATTTTTTGACACCAATTACATCTTGCTTTCTTTGAAAAACATAATTTTACCCAAGAAGAATACTTTTTATTGTAAAGCCATTCTGTTTGGAAACGACAGTTCTTTGACTTGGGCGTTATGTTAGTTATATTATATATTAATTGTTATATATATTATTTGTATATTCTATTTTCTAAATATTTAGTAGAATTAATAATACAGATAGTAAAATTAATAAAAATATTTTCATCATACCAGAAAATACATAATTAAACGAAAAGTTTTGTAAAAGATGAAAACAAGAAAACGGAATATTGAACTCTATAAAAAAAAGTTCCAGGATTTCCAGGATTTTTTGTAAAAAGGGGTGTTTTTCCAGGACTTTTCCAGGATCTATAAAATTCCAGGACTTTTCCAGGATTTCAAGGATTTCAAGGACCACTGGCCACCCTGTATTATGTTTTTTAACTAACATTATTATTTATTTATAATCACATTATACTGTTGATAATTATAGTTTATTTAGGTAGTTGCAGTTGAATGGTATACACTGACTGACTTAAATAAGGATAGAACCCAAAGATTATTTGGGGATATTGTTTTTTCCTTCAACTTGGGGGTGGTTGGGGTAGGGATGTTTTTGAGATATTTTTGAGCCTCACCCCTCCCTCCTTGTTAAAACCGTTGCCGCGACAATTATTTTTAAATATTACTTTGTTTGGGTTTACCTTGTTTTGTCTGAAGATAAGGAGTTAATTTAAAATAGCGTACCATTGTAAAAGATATTTCTTTGTGTACTTGAATTTTAAAACTATTTCATTAATGATTTTGATAAACGTTCAAGTTTTTGTTTTTAATAAATGTTTAACATTTATTGAAAAATATTTAAAGTATTTTAGACACATTTAATAACTATATTTTAGTAAATTTAGTTTTAGTAGTTATTAAATGTATAAAACATTTTAACAATATTTACCACGCAGTACTTGCAAAATAGACGCCTTCATAGTTCTGATAATTTCACGTGCACGCATCCTTAATATTATATCATTGTTCCTTATGCCCTAAATCGAATGAAAATTCTTCTTTTTCTTTTTCCATAATAAAGACATTTGCTTTGCTTTATATAAGTATATTATAACCATTTCAAGTCTAAACTTTATACTGTTTATATGTTTTTGTTATAGAATATATGTGAATATGAAAGCAAGAAACTTAAAAAACAAATTTATATGTGGAATGTAAAAGCTCCTAAAGGGATCAAGTACCAAGGGATAAAGTACCAAGACAAGTTATTTTCATATTAAAGAGAATGATAAATAAAAAATGTTTGGGCTAGTAAAACAAAATAATAAACTTATACCAAGAAAAATTATGCTGTTTTACTCGAAGCTCGTCAGTTCGAGAAAAACAGCATAGTCAGTTAGCCAGTTCCTTTAAGTCTTTAAAATACACCCCACAATCTACAGACTTCATAATTTTTTCAGCCCTGTTTAATTCCAAAAGATTTATAATATGATTTTACAGTCATTGTAGAATTATAAGAAATCTAAAAAAAAAAATTTCTCATCAAATTATAGATATTTTTATTTTTCAATAGCTTTAAATGAATAGCTTGGCTCGCTAATTTCAGTCGAGTAGAACAATAGTAAAAAAAATCTTACATTGCAATATTCTATTTTTAGAATTAATTTAAATAAGCAACAAAGGCATATAAGGGGCAGAGCAAGATTTGTTCACTGCATGAGGGCAGCAAGTAAATTTAATTGTGGCATTTAAAATCTAGTATACTAGGTATTTAAATTAAAAATATATTTAAATACAAAAATAAATTTTTTTTTTTTTAATTTACAAATACAAAACTTACGCAAATTTTGTATTTGTAAAATTAAAAAAAAAAAAACTTTTGTATTTACAAATATTGCTTTTTTAAATTGAACTTTTGCATTTGTAAAAAAATATAATAAAATATTATGTATATTTAATTATCTTATTTTATGTTTTACACAAATATAACATAAATGATACATTTCATTGCTATAGTTTTTTTTTTTACTATGATTTTTTGAACCTTTTGGAATTTTAAACTCGAGAATTCCACATTATATGTGGTGCCATCAAGCTGGCTCACACCCTGACAATTTATACAAAATTTCAATCATGTTTATTATGCTAAATGTTTTTTTTATAAAACCAATTATGGTATTTGCTTTATTACATGTGTTTAACCAGAATGGCCACATTAAATTTTTATAAGAAAAAGGGGATATTAGAGGAGTTTAGAGGAGATTTTGCATTTAATTTAGAGGATTTTTTTCGCAAAACTACAAAATTTTGAACAAAAATAGAGGATTTAAGAGGATTTTTTTTTCAAGGTTTAACGCCTGTTTCCACTTAACTAGGGTTTGGACAGGGGTTAACAATGTCATTTTTTGTTAGATGACATGGGGGTCATTCCATGTCAAGTAAACCAGGGTCAAACATGGACCCCCTAAGATTTTGATGAAACTTAGTAAGTTGGTTTATATCAATGAGAAAAGCAATTCCTGAAAATTTCAGCTTCAAATCTTATGTGGTTCATGAGATATGGCCATTTGAAATTTCTGATTTTTTCAAAAATAAAAACTTCAGGAGCAAAAACATGTTTTGTTCATATTTTGAAGCTCTGTATTTTAAAAACTAAATTTCAGAAAACCTTTTAGTTTTTTTTATCATATACAATGCTAGGCTTACTTTGTTAAAACTTTGACATTAAATTTTTAAATGTCACATTTTATCCATAATGGCTGCCTAAAAACCGAAAAAATTGTTTGCAGATATAGAAAGTTGATTTTTGATGGGTCAATATACAAAACTAGCAATTTAAGAAGTAAAAATACATATCTTTTTAGTTTTTATATATGGTAGGCTTCCTAATTTTCAGAAATTTGCTGATATGATACAATTCAGTAAGAAATTATGGACCCCTAAAAATGGCTCCGGCTAGAACTTACAAAATTGTGCTTTCCTTAAATCCACTGGTAACCTATGATCAACACTGATTTTCATGATATACTTTTTTTCTACTCATTTAGTAGACTTTATTAAAGTGATTTCAGAAAAAAAAATAGTGGGTACTCATGGGGAAGTTACAAAGTCAGAACAATGAAGTTGGCACAAAATGCATTAAAAACGCAAAAAATAGAGATATTGATGTACTTTAGTATTCATTATTTACTGCAATGCAAAAAAATGTATATATATATGAAAGTATATCAAAATCATTGCTACAAATTAGCTTTAAATTAGGACTGAGTTAAACTCAGGTTTTAAATAACCTTAATTGCCCCCCCCCACCCTGTCTTTATTTTTTTAAATGCCTATTTTTGCCCAGAACATTCTTATCTTAAGAAGAACTTATTTCTCGATAACATTTTAAACTATTGTTTATTAAACATTTTAGCTTATGCAGTGTTTCTGTTATTATATCTGATGCATGAAGTATCTTTATGCACCAAGTATTGAACATACTCAAACAATAGCTGTGTTATTTATTTGTAAATGCTTATTAGACACAACACATTTTTGTTTCTATATCAGTTATTATCTTACAGTTTTATATTCTGACTTAAATTTAGTATCATTTTCCCCATTTTATTATTGTCATGTATAAATTTAGATTACAGATTATATCAAGTGATAAGGGTAATTTGATTTGTCATTGCAATACACAAGTTTATTATGTAATTGTATAATACGTATTATGCATTAAAAAACATTATTTAATAAAAAATCAACATAAAGATGGAATCAT